TGGTGTAGGATCATTCCAGACCTCTGCCTAAAGCTCTTCCCACATTCATCACACTTGTAGGGCTTCTGCCCAGTGTGGATGTGCTGGTGCTTGACGAGGGTGGACCTCTGCCTGAATCTCTGCCCACACTCCCCACACGTGTAGGGCCGTTCCTCAGTGTGGATGTGCTGATGTTGGATCAGGATGGAGTTGCAGCTGAAGCTCTTCCCACATTCCCCACACTTGTAGGGCTTGTGCCCAGTGTGGATGTGCTGGTGCTTGACGAGGGTGGACCTCTGCCTGAATCTCTTCCCACACTCCCCACACGTGTAGGGCCGTTCCTCAGTGTGGATGTGCTGATGTTGGATAAGGTGGGAGCTGCAGTTGAAGCTCTTCCCACATTCCCCACACGTGTAGGGCCGTTCCCCAGTGTGGATGCGCTGATGGCGGATCAGGATGGAGCTGCAGTTGAAGCTCTTCTTCCCACATTCCCCCACACGGTGTAGGGCCGTGGCCCCAGTGTGGGTGTGCAGTGGGGAGGAGGTAGGAGCGCTTCCTGAAGCCGTCTTCCCACATTCCAAAGCACCTGAACTTCTCCCTGCTGGGAGGCTGCTCAGGGACCACCAGCTCAGAGCTCCCCCTCAAGCTCCGGCCGCCTTCCTGGCACAGGCTGGCTCTTTCCTCCTCAGAGCACCCTGGGCTGGCTTTGGAGCCCCTCCTGCGGGGGGATCTCCGGCCCTTTTCCTCCCCGCTGCCTTCCTGCGCCGGGGAGCCCTTCAAAACGGCCTCTCCCACCAGGCTCTGCTGGGGGGATTTGTCCTCCGGGCTCTCCCTCCTCAGCTCGGGGCCTGGGGCAGGAAGCAAGAAGGACAGGCAGGGGATTTGCCTCCGGCCCACAGGGAAGGCCAAGGACATCCCCCCAACTCCGGCCCCGGCAGGACGGCGGCGCCAGCGGGGTTGTCCTGCAGCCGGGGCCATGCTGGGCTGACAGAGCCAGCACAACACCCGCCCAAAGGGACACTGACTTCCTCCTCACCTGCCTGGGGGGAACAAGGCATCTTCCTCTTCCTCGCAGCCTCCTCCTCCATCCGCCCAAGCTTTGGGAAGGACAAATCCTGATGGGGGGAAAACAAGGGCTGAGTGTGTTGGCTTGGGGGTTCCTCCTGCCCAAGTCCATCTCTAGAACTCACTGGGCATCCTGTGTCCATAAAAACCTCCAAAACACCAAGATTCAGCCCAGAAAAACCCAAACCACTAACAAGATTCACGCAAAAAGCCCCTCAGAAATAGCAAGATGAACCCCTCCCCAAACTGCAAAATGTTAAGATTCAGCCAAAATATACTCCAGAATATGAAGATTCAGCCAAAAAAAAGGTGTTTAATTGGGAGGATGAGGGGAGTGAGGTCACTTCATGAGCACCTGATTGAATTGTTATATATTAATCAAAAACTGAATTAACGTAGTGTCACTTAAAACTCAATTCTTTTCTTCCTAGTTTCAGTGTAGAGAATAAATATGAATTCACTGGACTGCAGGTCTGGATCATTACCCCTGTGCTTTGGTGTGCAAATGCTTTCTCCTTCCACTTCTCCCCTGCCATCCTTTCTGACAACTGGACTCCTCTGCTGTGCTGTGCCAATATCCTGGGATGTGCAGTTTCCACGTTTCCAAGGATTAAAGGCTACTTTTGCCTACCAGTGCCAAAGGCTGCTCTGTGAAGTTCAGTGTGAGAGAATCCTGGGCAATCAGACACTGAAATTGTTGAGCTGCAATGGGCCATGCAAATGGAAAGACAGAATCCATTCTGCTGGCCCAGACACAGAAGCCAATATCTGGCTGTGGCTCTTTGCCTCACTGGCACCATCCCCTGTGGTTCCTGCTGCCCACCATGGCACTGGCAGCCCCGGGGCACAGGTACGTCCATCCTGTACATGAAGTCAGTCACACTGTCCACAAGTGCTAGCAGGAGTAAAACAGTGCACTGCTGACCTTCTCGAATTTATCTCTGTTAATGTCTGACTTCACTTGGTCAATCTGTGTTCTCTTGCACAGCGTTACGTGGGTTTATGATTTTTATTATCACTGCACCAAATTAATCTGGAATGTGTGGTCAGAACAGTAATTACCTGTATTTGTGTATAACTGTGCTCTTCTATTTTTCATGCTTTCTGGCAAATTCACTGACAACTTCTTTCACGACTACATGATGGGGACTGAATTTAATATTGGAGGGTTTTCCTGAGGGCAGCACTAACCAGACTGTTTTGTGTGTGGGAGACAGGCAGAACCACAAATGCCTGCACAGCCCAGAGCAGTCAGTGTGGGGCTGTGCCTGCTGCTGCAGAGACCCCCAGGGAACAAACCCAGGCAATAGTTGGGGTTTATTCCTTGCTCTGTGTCAGTGGAATAGAATGTTCCACAGGAGCTCTGTCCCCCTCTGTGGCACCAGGTGGCTCGAAGCTGAAGAGAGGGGGGGATCAAGTGCAAGGTCCCTTCTGAAGTGTGTCCCTAAGGAGGACACTTGCCTTATTATTGCTTATTACTTGCAATATCTTATAGATATATCATACAATAGCTAAGGATGGATTCTATAGAATATGTGCCAGAGATATGATACAGAATATATCTGATTATTGCTTTACCTGCCTGTCCAGACAGATCTTGTGTATGCAGAGAGATTGTATTTGAGGGATATGTTCCTCTCAATACCCTGTGAGCTCCACTCCCAAGGCCAGCAAATTCCTGAAGTTCCCCCTCCTGTGCCCTGCAGCTTTTGGCAGATTTGCAAGAGCAGGGGAATCATTCCCTGCAGCCCCTTTGCACTGCAGGAAATGGGTGCCCTGTGCACATCCTGCTGCCTCCAGATTCCATTCTGGGTGTGGGAACGACCCTGGGGAGCAAAGAAATGCCTGGTTGTGCAGGAGTTGGAGATGCTCAAGGGGCAGCAGGACCAAGTCAGGGGCCTGGGGGGGCCTGGGAGGCTTTGGGGTGCGGGAGGGTCCTGGGGGAGCTGGGGAGGGGCTTTGGGGATTGGGGGTACAGACCAGGACAGACCAGGACAGACCAGGACAGACCAGTACCTCCTCATTGCTCCCCAGATCTCTCCTGGAGCTGGGCCACGTTGTTGTGGGACACCTGAGCCCCCCCAGTGCCCTCCCAGTACAGCCCAGTGCCCCCAGTACAGCCCACTGTGTTCCTGTCCCAGGGTGCCAGGTGATCCCTCTTTGGGGAGGTTGGAAGGTGATTTGGGGGGTTTGGGGGGTCTTTGGGTGTATTTGGGGGAGTTAAAACAGGTTTTGGGGGCATTGGGGCATCAAAGGGATCTGTGGGGGGAGGGGATTAAAGGGAAAATGGAGGTTAGGGGACATTTGGGGGGAGTTAGAAAGGCTTGGGGGGAGAGAAGGGGCTGCACCATGAGCAGGTGAGTCCTGAGACCCCCCCAGTGTCCCCAAGACTCTCTTGGTGTCCCCAGTTCCCCCCTTGACACCCTGAGACCCCCCTGGTGTCTCCAGTGTTCCCAGGGACTTCCCACAGCCCCATTTCTCCCCTTGACACCCACAATTCCACTGTCCACAAACCCCTCCCCACTGTCCCCAAACCCCATCCCTGATGTCCCCAACCCTCCATCTCACTCCAGGAGCCCCCCCTTGGACCCTTTGACCACAAAAACGACCCCCTCCCACTCTCACAGAAGAGGCCAAGGGCATCTGGGGACAGGTTGGGGACAGCTGGGGGGTTTTGGGGGGCACTGGGTGATTCCTGGAGGATACTGGGACACACTGCGGGGAACCAGGGGGGACTGGGAGGAACTGGGGGGTTACCGAGGAATGCTCAGAGGGCACTGGGAGGGACTGGAGGTGAACTGGGGCACACTGGGAGGTTACTGGGCCATACTGGGGGTTCATGGGTGCTCACTGGAGGATCACGGGCCCATAGTTGAAAGCAGTGGGAGGTCACTGGGACACACTGGATGGTCACTGGGGGTTACTGGGCTGTACTGAGGGTCACTGGGAGGTCACTGGGACATACTGGGGGCACTGGGATCCCCTTACCCAGATGTGGTACATCTCCCTCCCCTGGATTTTGGGGGGCATCCCTAGGACCCCTGAGGGCTGGTGAATCCCATGAACCCACTGCTGAGCTTTAGGGGACTCCACAAAATCCCCTCAAAACCCCTGAAATCCCCCCCTCGACCCATCAAAACCTCCTCAAGGTCCCCTCAAATCCCCTCAGAGACCTCATCCCTCCCCAGCACCCTCTAAACCCTCCCAGTGATCCGCAAAACCCACCTGGGACCCCCCAAGCCCATTCAGGAACCCCCCAATCTCCCTCAAGGACCCTCAAAACCGTCTGGGACCCCTTAAACCCCCCAGAGACCCCAAAACTGCCTAAAAGGTCCCCGCAAAGCCCCTCAGGACCCTCAAACCTCCTCACAGACCCCAAAGCCCACCTGGGAAACCTGAAATCTCCTCAGAAACCAAAACCCCCTCAGAGACCCCCAAACCCCTTCAGGGACCTTCAATTTCCCCCCCGAGTCCCCTCAGGACACTGAATCCCCTCAGGGACCCCTAAAAACGTCTCCGGGAACCCCGAACTCCTCCGCTAAACCCTCCCGAGCCCTTCAACCCACAGCCGCGCTCCCCGTAGCCCCCGAGGGGATCCCCAGACCCCGCTCTCGCCGCCCCCCCCGCCAGACTCACAACGACAAACAGACCCCGCCGCAATCACGGAATCCCGGAAGCCAAAATGGCGCTGGCTCTGCGCGCGCACCGCCTGGACTGACCCGCGCCGCAGCCAATCAGCGCGCGGCCACGGCCCCTGCCCGCATTCCGCCACGCCTTCGCCGCGCGCGGTGCATTGTGGGAGTTGTAGTCCTTGCGGCAGGCGAGGGTAGGACTTTTTGGTTTTTAGCTTTTCTGCCTTTATTTTCTCCTTTCTTTTTTTCCTTTTCTTTCTATTTTCTTTCTTCTTTATTTATTCCTCGTCTTGTCTTTCGTCAACTCACGTGCAAAGGGCCGCTATGATCGTCCGCAAGGACTACAACTCCCACAGCGCACCGCGCAAAGCGCAGGCGCGGCGGCGAACGTGCGGGCAGGGGCCGCGCGCTGATTGGCTGCGGTGGTGTTTTCTGAACGCGGTGCGCGCGCAGAGCGTCGCCTTGGCTTCCGGGAATCGGGGATGGCGCCGGGACCTTCAGTTCGCTGTAAGATCTGGCGGGGACTGTGGCGAGAGCGGGGCTCTGGGGATCCCCTCGGGGGCTGCGGGGAGCGCGGGTGTGGGTGGAAAGGCTGGAGGGCTCGGAAGGGTTTAGCGCGCAGGTTCGGGGGTTCTCGGGGACGTTTTGAGAGGTCCCTGAGGGGGTTCGGTGTCTTGAGGGGACTCGGGGGGAGGTTGAAGGTCCCTGAAGGGGGTTTGGGGGTCTCCGAGGGAGTTTTAGTTTCTGAGGAGATTTGGGGGGTCCCAGGTGGGCTTTGGGGATCTCTGAAGACGTTTGAGGGTCCTGGGGGGCTTTGCGGGGACCTTTTAGGCAGTTTTGGGGTCTCTGGGGGGTTTAAGGGGTCCCAGACGGTTTTGAGGGTCCTTGAGGGAGATTGGGGGGTCCCTGAATGGGCTTGGGGGGTCCCAGGTGGGTTTTGCGGGTCACTGGGAGGGTTTAGGGGGTGCTGGGGAGGGATGAGGTCTCTGAGGGGATTTGAGGGGACCTTGAGGAGGTTTCGATGGGTCGAGGGGGGCATTTCATGGGTTTTGAGGGGATTTTGTGGAGTCCCCTAAAGCCCAGCAGTGGGTTCATGGGGTCCCCCAGCCCTCAGGGGTCCTAGGGATGCTTCCCAAAATCCAGGGGAGGGAGATGTACCACATCTGGGTAAGGGGATCCCAGTGCCCCCAGTGTATCCCAATGACCTCCCAGTGACCCTCAGTACAGCCCAGTAACCCCCTCAGTGACCATCCAGTGTGTCCCAGTGACCTCCCACTGCTTTCAAGTATGGGCCAGTGATCCTCCAGTGAGCACCCAGTAACCTCCCAGTGTGCCCCAGTTCACCTCCCTGTCCCCCAGTGTGTCCTGGTATCCCTCCAGTAACTCCCCAGTTCTCCACCAGTGACCCCAGTGTGCCCCAGTTCACCTCCAGTCCCTCCCAGTGCCATCCCAGTGTCTTTCAGTAACCCCCCAGTCCCTCCCAGTCCCCCCTGGTTCCCCGCAGTGTGTCCCAGTATCCTCCAGGAATCACCCAGTGCCCCCCAAAACCCCCCAGCTGTCCCCAACCTGTCCCCAGATGCCCTTGGCCTTTCTGTGTGAGTGGGAGGGGGTCGTTTTTGTGGTCAAAGGGTCCAAGGGGGGGCTCCTGGAGTGAGATGGAGGGTTGGGGACATCAGGGATGGGGTTTGGGGACAGTGGGGAGGGGTTTGGGGACAGTGGAATTGGGGGTTCCAAGGGGAGAAATGGGGCTGTGGGAAGTCCCTGGGAAAATTGGAGACACCAGGGGGGTCTCAGGGTGTCAAGGGGGGAACTGGGGACACCAAGAGGGTCTTGGGGACACCGGGGGGGTCTCAGGACTCACCTGCTCATGGTGCAGCCCCTTCGCTCCCACCCAAGCCCCTCTAACTCCCCCCAAATGTCCTCTAACCTCCATTTTCCCTTTAATCCCCTCCCCCCACAGATCCCTTTGATGCCCCAATGCCCCCAAAACCTGTTTTAACTCCCCCAAATACACCCAAAGACCCCCAAAACCCCCCAAATCACCTTCCATCCAACCCCTCCAGATCCCCCCAAATCTCCCCCAGCCCCCACCTCAAATCCCTTCCAACCCCCCCCAAAGAGGATCAACCCCGGCACCCTGGGACAGGAACCAGTGGGCTGTACGGGTGGCACTGGGCTGTACTGGAGGGCATGGGGGCTCAGGTGTCGCAGGACAACGTGTCCCAGCTCCATGAGAGATCTGGGGGCATGAGAGGTACTGGTCTGGTCCCTGGGTCTGTCCTGGTCGGTGCTGGTTTGTCACCCAATCCCCAAAGCCCCTCCCCAGCTCCCCCAGGACCCTCCCGGACCCCAAAGCCCCCCAGGCCCCCCCAGGCCCCTGACTTGGTCCCGCTGCCCCTTGAGCATCTCCAGCTCCTGCAGAACCAGGCATTTCTTTGCTCCCCAGGGTCGTTCCCACACCCAGAATGGAATCTGGAGGCAGCAGGATGTGCACAGGGCTCCCATTTCCTACAGTGCAAAGGGGCTGCAGGGAATGATTCCCCTGCTCTTGCAAATCTGCCAAAAGCTGCAGGGCACAGGAGGGGGAGCTTCAGGAATTTGCTGGCATTGGGAGTGGAGCTCACAGGGTATTGAGAGGAACATATCCCTCAAATACAGTCTCTGTGCATACACAAGATCTGTCTGGACAGGCAGGTAAAGCAATAATCAGATATATTCTGTATCATATATCTGGCACATATTCTATAGAATCCATCCTTAGCTATTGTATGATATATAGAATCATAGAATCATAGAATTGGGTTGGAAAAGACCTCCAAGATCATCAAGTCCAACCCCTGATCCAACTCCAGTTACTATATCATGGCACTAAGGGCCACGTCCAATCTCTTTTTAAAAACCTCCAGGGATGGTGAATCCACCACCTCTCTGGGTAGGCCGTTCCAATGCCTGATAACCCTCTCTGTAAAGAATTTCTTCCTAACATCTAACCTAAACCTCCCCTGGCAGAGCTTGAGCCCATGTCCCCTTGTCCTATTGTTGGTTGCCTGGGAGAAGAGACCAACCCCCACCTGGCTATAACTTCCATTCAGGTGGTTGAAGAGAGTGATGAGGTCACCTCTAAGCCTTCTCTTCTCCAGACTAAACAACCCCAGCTCCCTCAGCCTCTCCCCATAGGACTTGTGCTCCAGTCCCTTCACCAGCCTCGTTGCTCTTCTCTGGACTTGCTCCAGCACCTCAATATCCTTCCTGAACTGAGGGGCCCAGAGCTGAACACAATACTCAAGGTGTGGCCTCACCAACACAGAGCACAGGGGAAGGATCACTTCCCTGCTCCTGCTGGCCACACTGTTCATGATGCAGGCCAGGATGCCATTGGCCTTCTTGGCCACCTGGGCACACTGCTGGCTCATGTTCAGCCTCCTGTCGATCAGCACCCCCAGGTCCCTTTCTGCCTGGCTGCTCTCCCAAGCCATCTGCCTCTGTGCCCCAGGGCCTGTAGCGGGCTGCAGGGGGGTTTGTTGTGGCCAAGTGGCCGGACCGGCACTTTGGCTTTATTTGAACTTCATTCCCATTGGATCAGACCAGCTATTCCAAGTCTATCCCCGAATCCCTCTGCCAGCCGCTCCTGCCTTCCAGGCAAGCGGTCGACACTTCCCCACCAAACTTGGTGTTTGTCATCAGCAAAATTTTTTGCTGATGATTGGATAAATCCCTCTCTAAATCATTCAATCACGATGTTATTAATTCAACAGGACTGGACCCAAACACACAGACACCCTGGGACACTCAATGGCTGACCGGCTGCAGCTGGATGGATCGCCGCTCCATTAAACAACACTCTCTGGGGGCCGGTGGACCCCTCCGCCCAGCTCCTGACCCAGCACAGAGTGCCCCTGTCCAAGCCGTGGGCTGCCAGCTTTTCCAGGAGTATATTATGGGAGACAGTGTCAAAGGCTTTGCTGAAATCCAGACAGACACATCCACAGCCTTCCTCTCACCCACCAGGTGGGTCACCTGATCGTAAAAGGAGATCAGGTTGGTCAAACAGGATCGACCCCTCCTAAACCCATGCTGGCTGGGTCTGATCCCTTGTCCATCCTGTAGCTGCTGTGTGATTTCACACAGGATAATCTGCTCCATAATTCTGCCAGGCACCAAGGTCAGGCTGACAGGCCTGGAGTTACCCGGGTCAGCCTTGCAGCCTTTTTTATGGATTGGGGTGATATTTGCCAACTTAATTAAGATAATAATATTTATAAGATATTACAAGTAATAAGCAATAATAAGGCAAGTGTCCTCCTTAGGGACACACTTCAGAAGGGACCTTGCACTTGATCCCCCCCCTCTTCAGCTTCGAGCCACCTGGTGCCACAGAGGGGGACAGAGCTCCTGTGGAACATTCTATTCCACTGACACAGAGCAAGGAATAAACCCCAACTATTGCCTGGGTTTGTTCCCTGGGGGTCTCTGCAGCAGCAGGCACAGCCCCACACTGAGTGCTCTGGGCTGTGCAGGCATTTGTGGTTCTGCCTGTCTCCCACACACAAAACAGTCTGGTTAGTGCTGCCCTCAGGAAACCCCCCCAATATTAAATTCAGTCCCCATCATGTAGTCGTGAAAGAAGTTGTCAGTGAATTTGCCAGAAAGCATGAAAAATAGAAGAGCACACAGTTATACACAAATACAGGTAATTACTGTTCTGACCACACATTCCAGATTAATTTGGTGCAGTGATAATAAAAATCATAAACCCACGTAACGCTGTGCAAGAGAACACAGATTGACCAAGTGAAGTCAGACATTAACAGAGATAAATTCGAGAAGGTCAGCAGTGCACTGTTTTACTCCTGCTAGCACTTGTGGACAGTGTGACTGACTTCATGTACAGGATGGACGTACCTGTGCCCCGGGGCTGCCAGTGCCATGGTGGGCAGCAGGAACCACAGGGGATGGTGCCAGTGAGGCAAAGAGCCACAGCCACAGATTGGCTTCTGTGTCTGGGCCAGCAGAATGGATTCTGTCATTCCATTTGCATGGCCCATTGCAGCTCAACAATTTCAGTGTCTGACTGCCCAGGATTCTCTCACACTGAACTTCACAGAGCAGCCTTTGGCACTGGTAGGCAAAAGTAGCCTTTAATCCTTGCAAACGTGGAAACTGCACATCCCAGGATATTGGCACAGCACAGCAGAGGAGTCCAGTTGTCAGAAAGGATGGCAGGGGAGAAGTGGAAGGAGAAAGCATTTGCACACCAAAGCACAGGGGTAATGATCAAGGCCTGAAGTCCAGTGAATTCATATTTATTCTCTACACTGAAACTAGGAAGAAAAAAATTGTGTTTAAAGTGACACTACGTTAATTCAGTTTTTGATTAATATATAACAATTCAATCAGGTGCTCATGAAGTGACCTCACTCCCCTCATCCTCCCAATTAAACACCTTTTTTTTGGCTGAATCTTCATATTCTGGAGTATATTTTGGCTGAATCTTAACATTTTGCAGTTTGGGGAGGGGTTCATCTTGCTATTTCTGAGGGGCTTTTTGCGTGAATCTTGTTAGTGGTTTGGGTTTTTCTGGGCTGAATCTTTGTGTTTTGGAGGTTTTTATGGACACAGGATGCCTGGTGAGTTCTAGAGATGGACTTGGGCAGGAGGAACCCCCAAACCAACGTGCTCAGCCCTTGTTTTCCCCCCATCAGGATTTGTCCTTCCCAAAGCTTGGGCGGATGGAGGAGGAGGCTGCGAGGAAGAGGAAGATGCCTTGGTCCCCCCAGGCAGGTGAGGAGGAAGGCAGTGTCCCTTTGGGCGGGTGTTGTGCTGGCTCTGTCAGCCGAGCATGGCCCCGGCTGCAGGACAACCCCGCTGGCGCCGCCGTCCTGCCGGGGCCGGAGTTGGGGGGATGTCCTTGGCCTTCCCTGTGGGCCGGAGGCAAATCCCCTCCTGTCCTTCTTGCTTCCTGCCCCAGGCCCCGAGCTGAGGACGGAGAGCCCGGAGGACAAATCCCCCCGTGAGAGCCTGGTGGGAGAGGCCGTTTTGAAGGGCTCCCCGGCGCAGGAAGGCAGCGGGGAGGAAAAGGGCCGGAGATCCCCCCGCAGGAGGGGCTCCAAAGCCAGCCCAGGGTGCTCTGAGGAGGAAAGAGCCAGCCTGTGCCGGGAAGGCAGCCGGAGCTTGAGGGGGAGCTCTGAGCTGGTGGTCCCTGAGCAGCCTCCCAGCAGGGAGAAGCCCTTCAGGTGCTTGGAATGTGGGAAGAGTTTCAGGAAGAGCTCCGACCTCCTCACCCACCTGCACATCCACACTGGGGCACGGCCCTACACGTGTGGGGAATGTGGGAAGAGCTTCAACTGCAGCTCCATCCTGATCCAACATCAGCGCATCCACACTGGGGAACGACCCTACACGTGTGGGGAATGTGGGAAGAGCTTCAACTGCAGCTCCCACCTTATCCAACATCAGCACATCCACACTGGGGAACGGCCCTACACGTGTGGGGAATGTGGGAAGAGATTCAGGCAGAGGTCCACCCTCGTCAAGCACCAGCACATCCACACTGGGCAGAAGCCCTACAAGTGTGGGGAATGTGGGAAGAGCTTCAGCTGCAACTCCATCCTGATCCAACATCAGCGCATCCACACTGGGGAACGGCCCTACACGTGTGGGGAGTGCGGGAAGAGATTCAGGCAGAGGTCCACCCTCGTCAAGCACCAGCACATCCACACTGGGCAGAAGCCCTACAAGTGTGAGGAATGTGGGAAGAGCTTTAGGCAGAGGTCTGGAATGATCCTACACCAGCGCATCCACAGTAGGCAGAAGCCCTACAAGTGTGGGGAATGTGGGCAGAGCTTTAGCCAGTGCTTTGAACTGATCCTACACCAGCGCATCCACACTGGGGAACGGCCGTATGTGTGTGGGGAATGTGGGAAGAGGTTTCAGACCCTCTCACATCTCCTCAGTCATGAGCAGACACACACGGATGAGAGGCCCTTCCTCTGCACCGACTGTGGGAAGAGCTTCAGCCAGAACTCCTACCTCATCACCCACCGGCGCATTCACACCGGGGAGAGGCCCTACAAGTGTGGGGAGTGTGGGAAGAGCTTCACTGAGAGCTCTAAGTTGACCAGACACCAACGGACCCACCGGCAAGGGAAGCCCTCGAGTGCCCCGACTGCAGGAAGAGCTTCGGCCGCTGCTTCCACCCCCAATGAACCCCCTGATGGGGAGGCAACCCCTGGAGTCCAGTGACTGTCAGTCCATCCCTTTTGACCACAAAGGGCCAGTCCCCTTTCCCAGGGGCAGCTTCTTCCAACAGAACCCTTCCTGGGGGTGTGTGGAGATTCCTGCCTTGGCTGGGGACCCCCCAAGGTCACTGCTGGAGGTTGAGAGCAGAGATCTCCCCACGAGCGTTGGTCTGGGGGAGTTCCATCCATCTCTAATTAAGAATTATTGCTTTGGTGCCAGCTTTAGTAGAATTGCTTCAACAATTGCTTTCTTATCCTGTACTCCTGGTAGTTTTAGTGTTTCTATTGTGCAGTAAATAATTCTGATGAAGATCTTTTGTCTGATCATTTGTATCCCTAAATCATTCCTTTCTATCAATAGATCTGATTTGCCATCATTAAAAGCTGGGGGACAAAAGCGGTTCAGTCACACTTCTTTAATTCCTCTAAACTGAAAGTGTTGGCATGATCCAAGGCTGAGATTGGATCCAGCAGCCCCCAGCACCCCACAGGAAATTGGAAGCTCAGGGGGCCACCCTGCTTTGCCAACACCCCTGTGCCCAAAGACCCCCATAGGACCATCTGACCCACCAGGCCACCCTCCCTTTTCCACCCTTCTCCCTATTCCTTCCACTTTTCCATAGTCCCCTCAATCCCCACCTCACCCCTGGATTACTCTGGGGGTCCCAACCCCCATTTTTCCCTCCTCTCACATCTTCCACATCATCCCCCCAATCCCCAGCTCCCTCCAACTCAACTTGGGGTCCCAGCACCCCCAAAAAAAGGGGTTAGGTGGGATCCTGGGTGGGCTCTGACTATGTTTGGGGGGTTCTCCAGGGCCTGTGTGGAGATTTAGGGAGGTCCCAGCACCTTTTGGGGTGAGCTGGGTACATTTTAAGGGGCAGGTGCCCCACCAAGACCCTCCCAGAGGGGTTGACACAGGGGGAACAAAGGGAGGTCCCCATTCCCGATCCATCCCGGGGCCGGTTCTGCCCCCCCAAACTCGGCTCCACTCCTTGGGATCCCCCCAAGCGCCTCCCCCACTGCCCCCCAATAACCAGGACTGGGGAGAACTGGGAAGCTTTACTGGGATCACTGGGAGCAGCCGGGCAGAGGCAGAGTGACAGCAGGGGAGGGGGGACACACGACCCCCCAAAATCCTCACGGGGACAGGAGGGGTCCAGGCTGGGCCCGAGGCCCCGGGGAGGGGCTGCGGCCGCCGCCGGCTCAGGAGCTCTGTGGGGAGAGAAAAGGGGGGGACACCGGGGTGGGGGACAGGGGGGACACCGGGATACACCGAGACCCAAACTGGATCCAGTGGGACCAGAACTGGGGAACAGGGATCATACTGGGAGCACCTGGCAGCATGTTGGAGGCAACTGGGATATACTGGGAGTGACTGGAACCACAGTAGGGGTGACTGGGAGCAACTGGAACCACACTGGGGGCAACTGGGATCATACTGGGAGCAACCAGGCCCCTACTGGGGTCATACTGGGATCATACTGGGAGTGACTGCAATAATCCTGGGAGTGTGTGAGAGGGACTGCAGCCATACTGGGGATGAGTGGAATCAAACTGGCTTCATACTGGACGTGTCGGGAAGTCACTGGTATCATACTGGTGGCAACTGTGATTGTACTGGGATCATAATGGATCAGACTAGGATCATACTGGGAGCAACTGGTTCTATGCTAGGGGCAACTGGGAGCTACTAGGATCCCACTGGGAGGAACTGGGAGCAACTGGGACCATGCTGGGCACAACTGGGATCATATTGGGAGCAACTGGGCCCACAGTGAAGGTGGCTGGGGTCATACTGGGAGTGACTGGGAGCATTCTGAGGGCAGTTGGGACCATGTTGGCGCAACTGGGATATACTGGGAGCAAGTGGGATCATGCTGGAAGTGACTGGGGTCATACTGGGAGTGACTGGGAGCATTCTGAGGGCAGTTGGGACCATGTTGGCGCAACTGGGATATACTGGGAGCAAGTGGGATCATGCTGGAAGTGACTGGGATCATACTGGGAGTGACTAGGACCCCACTGGCGGTGACTGGGAGTGGCTGTGAGCAACTGGGATCATGCTGGAAGCTACTGGGAGCATTCAGGAGTGAGTGGGACAACACTGGGGGCAACTGGGATATACTGGGAGAGACCAGGAGTGACTGGGATCATACTGGGACTGCCTGGGAGTGTACTGGGACTGACTGGGAGCATGCTGAGGTCAGCTGGGATATACTGGGAGAGACTGGGAGTGACAGGGATCATACTGGGAGTGACTGGAACTACAGTGGGGTAACTGGGAGCAAGTGGGACCCTGCTGGGGGCAAATGGTTTTATCCTGGGAGTGCCAGGGAATGTCTGGGTTCATCCTGGGTGTGACTGACACCATATAGGGGGTCACTGGGATCAGACTGGAGTCATACTGGGATGGACTGGGAGAGACTGGAACTACAGTGGGGTGACTGGGAGCAACTGGGACCATGCAGGGGGTAACTTGGATCCTACTAGGAGAGACTGGGATCATACTGGGACTGACTGGGAGCATGTTGGAGGCAACTGGGATATACTGGGAGTGGCTGGGAGTGACTGGGATTATACTGGGAGTGACTGGAACCATAGTAGGGGTGAATGGGAGCAAGTGAAACCATGCTGGGGGCAACTGGGATCCTACTGGGAGCAGCTGGGCCCCTGCTGGGGTCATACTGGGATCATACTGGGAGTGACTGCAATAATACTGGGGGGTGTGTGTGTGAGAGGGACTGCAGCCATACTGGGGATGACTGGGATCAAACTGGCTTTGTACTGGAAGTGTCTGGAAGTTACTGGGATCATACTGGGGGTGACTGGATTCATACTGGGATCATACTGGGAGCAACTGGGACCATGCAGGGGGCAAATGGCATCCTCCAGGGAGTGACTGGGGCCAGACTGGACTCAGACTGGGAGTCCCTGAGAGGGAAAGGAACCATCCTGGGTGAGGGGCTGGGAGCAACTGGGACCACCTAGGGGGCAACTGGGATCCTATTGGGAGTGACTGGGAGTGACTGGGATCATAGTGGGAGTGACCAGCACCATACTGGAATCACAGTGGGAGTGACTGTAAGGGACCAGGATCAAACTGGGAGTGGCTGGAACTACACAGGGGGGAACTGGGAGCCAGTGGGGCCAGGCTGGAAGCCAACTGGGAACATACTTGGGGCAACTGGAATCATGCTGGAAGCAACTGGGAGTAACTGGGAGTGACAGGGTGCATGCTGGAGGCAACTGGCATAAACTGGGAGTGACTGGGATCATCCTGATGGAAACTGGAACCATCCTGGGGCAAGTGGAAGTAACTGGGTATGACTATGAGCATGCTGAGGGCAACTGGGATATACTGGGAGTGTCTGCAACCATCCTGGGGGTGACTGGGACCACATGGGGAGTGACTTGGACCATGCTGGGGGCAACTGGGAGCAACTGGGAGTGACTGGATCTACAGTGGGGAAACTTGGATTGACTGGGACCATGCTGGGGGAAGACTGGGATCATACTTGGATTGACTGGATCTATGCTGGAGGCAACTGGGACAAACTGGGACCATGCAGGGGGTAACTGCAATTGTACAGGGATCATACTGGGACCATACTGGGATCACATCAGGATCATACTGCGAGCGACTGGGTCTGTGCTAGGGGCAACTGGGAGCAACTGGAATCAAACTGGGAGGAACTGGGAGGTACTGGGACCCTGCTGGGGACAACTGGTAGCAACTGGGATCCCACTGGGAGGAACTGGGAGCAACTGGGACCATGCTGGGCACAACTAGGATCATATTGGGAGCAACTGGGCCCACAGTGAAGGTGGCTGGGGTCATACTGGGAGTGACTGGGAGCATTCTGAGGGCAGTTGGGACCATGTTGGCACAACCCATCACTGGTTGCCAAAGTCATCCCATACCTAAAATAAACCTGAAACTCTGCTTTTCAGTTAACCTGCTGCCTTGCAGTCAAATTTTCAGACAGTGCAATTACAAACAACAAGAAGAGGATCAAACTGCATTCAGCAGGTGTTTTTTGGAAAAAATCCTAAAATTTCCTGGTGTTGCCAATCAAAACAGCTGTTTAAATGACACTTTTATGAATCCCAAAAATCCAATGGGATTGAACAAGCTCTTGGGAGAAGACAACCTGCCGGCATATCTAAATTGTCTTTGGATTTGCTGCAACATTAGAAAACAGACATTAACTTGGAACTGGCAAGATCAGCATGAAAAATCCAATAGACTAATATGGGAGTTGGTTGTTGTGAGGAGAACAAAGTTTCTTGGTCTTCAGCTGATATTGCCAAAATGACAAATTTAAGTATCAACAACAGTATCTCAGATGTATTTTGGAGCTCAAGCCACCCATCAAAGTGTTTACTGGCAACAAAGGGAACGCTAATCCTGATTTTCAATCAGAGAGTTTATTCACTGTTCTAACTAAACATACTTGGAGTTATGTTTGGCCTTAATACTGCTAAAAACCAATACAGATTCTCTGCCAGTAAAATAAGGGACTGGGAAAAACACTGTGACCACTTCTCTCCCCACACCACCCAGTGGCAAACACAAGAGACCCATGTGTGGGCTTGTGTAGGTTGCACTGACAAATATTAATTAGGTATTTTACTCAGAGAGTCTCTTCACTGGGTAGTAAAATAAATCTTCTGGGAGGAAAATTGTGATTTTCCACAGAAATTTTTGTTGTCGGGTTCCAGTGACAATGCCTAATTAACATCCATTTATATCCCAACCATTACTGACCTTTCACTGGACTTTGTTAACTATTGAGACAAATACTCAAGACCTTTGTGTTCTTTTTTCACCTTTTAAAATTAGTTTACAACAGAAGGAGCTGCAAAAACATCCTACAGTTTTCTTCAAACACTTTAAA